TTTTTTTTTTTTTTTAGCTTGGAGACTCCAGGGATAACACAGTGCACCTAGGATAAAGAAGTTAGATCCACAAATGAGTCTTTTGTTAGACTCCAGGAACAAGCTACGACCAAGGCAAGTACAACAGAGCAGAGTCGCTCTTCCCGATTATGCACAGGACTTGGTACCTTGGGAAAAGTCAAGGCATCTGGTGCAAAACATTAGGAACCTAGATAGAGGGGAGAAGGGTGTTCTCATGACGTTGCATTTGTTATGTGCACCTATGAGAAGCCTAGAGTTCCAGACACCTGGGGGTGAGCGTGGGCTGTGTTGGCAGTAGGATCCTCCCCGTAAATGACCTGGAAACACCCTGGGTTTCTGCAAATGTCGGATCCATAATGGTGTTTGAGCACAGAGTCAGGCCAGAAGTCAACTCTAAGCATTCATTATGAGGAAACAAACACAAAGTTTACAAGTGGAATGACCTCTCCAATGAGCACCTGAAATTAAAGCTACTGGTTTGAGAGTTCTCTGGAGGCAAAGGAGTTAAAAAAAAAAAAAAAAAAGACTTTGAAAGTGCAAGACCACTCTCACCAGATAAACATAGATTCCAAGGTTATCCCTGAGGTCACAAACAAGTCCCCATCCATCCAGAACCCCTCCCGGAAGCAGGTGCCCCATCTGTGTTCCAGCTTCTTGGCTCCTACCATCCACTTTTGGAGAAGAGGTTGACATTCCCTAACAAAGGCACCCTTTGAAAAGTCCAGGAACCCAAAAAGCAAAGCACAGGCTGAACTCTGGCTCTACCTGTTTGGCTGTGTGGTGTAAAGGCTGCAGAGGAAGAGGAGTGGCCAGGCAGGGTGGCTGACAGGGGCCACAGTCAGTCTCTGGCTGCACAGCAGCCAACTCCACTGACAGGTTGGACCTCTCCCACTGGTTTTCGCTGGGACCAGACAAAAGAAGAATAGAAAGCAGGAAAAGGGTGGAGGCCCCACATAAAAATTAATTAACACTATCTATTTTTTCTTTCCTTTTGAAAAGCTAATCTCTTAGTCCAGAGCACTGTGTGCCCTTTGCTGAAGGGTAGGTAGGGTCAGAGGGAATCCACCCATCCAAGCTCTCACCTATTAGATTTCCATTTCTCAATGGCTCTTTGTGTGGCAATCTTCAGGTGAAACAGACCTCTCTGACCAAGCTGAAGCAAGCATGGCTCAGGTTAAGTACTTATCCCCAGGAAAGCTTTGGTTAGGCATTGACTGGGGACTGCAGCGGTACTGGGACATTGGGTTTGGAGTTTCCAAGGGAAGATGGAGGAGACTGCAGTTCCTCAACTGCACCAAAATATGTCCTTACCCAAGCATCCTCTGTGTCTCATCATCTTCCATCCTTCTATGTAAGGATCAGGGGATCAAAGGTCTGAAGATTTGGAGGTCTTTCTGACCCTTCTTTCATACAAGTACGAGAATATCTGCTCGTAGTTGAGATTGCAACATCTGGAGAGAAGGGGGGCGGGATTGAAAAATAGGAAGAAAACAGGAGTTACTAGAAGCCAGCTGGAAATCAAAAAAGTTCTCTTCCTATTCTTAACTCTTCTATCAGCTTTGCCGTCTATGCTGGTGCGCAAGCCTGATGGGAGGGGCTTCACAGATCCCTTTCTTTCGTCCAGTTTATTGTCACAGACAATATCTTGCCTGGGCTAGCGGGATGTTTTAAACTGATCTCCTATATTGTTATGAATTGTGTTTTCAAACTGTATTGTAATTGTCTTCACCAGATACAATATTCAGTCATTTTTCTCCCTTTCTTCAATAGATCCCTATTGCTTTTAAAATAAATTCTAAATACAGAATTCAAGGATTTCCATGATCAATAAAGCCCATATTTTCACTGAAAAAAAAGAAACTTTAAGAATGTGATGGAAGGTTTTGGCATGAATAAGTGGAGAAACTGAGACAAAAGCTGTATTTCATTCTCCTGTTAATTTCAATATAGTCTCATGGAGTACCATACCTTCAAACTTCAGGTCATCAGAGTCACAATGTGTTAGATATCTGCATCAAGCCCAGACTTGTTATGGGTAGAACAGTAGGTATAAATAAGATTCTATCACATGAAGGCATCTTGGTTCCATTTCCAATTTAACTGTGGAAAATTACAATCCCTAGGGATTGCTTGTCGATTCAATAACTGATATATCTCTGTAGATTTCTGCTAACTCCATCAGCAAGACTATTAGATTGATTCTTCTACTTTCTATTTATGGCAACTGATTCCTAACACAATAGCAATCAGTCCAGTTCAGTGAGGTTCCTAGTCAGGCTGGAGGCCACCACTACCTTTCTGAAAGCAACACTTGCTGAGATAATTGGTACCCAACAGAACAGAGCTCTCAGAGCCGAGCAGACATTGACTCCTTCAGGGAATCAACCATGACTCTGTTTCATCAATGTTTCAGTCATGCAGACATTGCCCCAGCTTTTTTTCTTCCTTTGTGTTTATATATTTGTTTGTTAGTTAAAACATTAGATTTTGGCCCAAGCTAACCTATAACTTGTGGAGATCCTCCTGCCTCTGCCTCCTGCAAGCTGGGTTTACAAGTGTGTTCTCCACACTCAGCTTTCCCTGCCTTTCTAACACATCATGGCCACTATGAACAATATTAACTATGAAGTGGCCTACTATATTTTGTTTTCTGTCTTCTATTGACATGATTGAATAAAAACTGCATATGGTGTTTTTCTACTGGAGGTATCAGAACTATATATCTTCTGGTGTTCAAAAGATAATAAATTGAGACACTGTGCCATCTAATACTAAACGCAATTATATTTAAGTATTTAGGCGTATATAAAAACCTTTGTGTTTACACAAATAATCTTAGCATGCATTCTTCATTATCAGGAGTGATTTACATACTTCCTTCAAAAGGGGGCTATATGTATGAGTAATATGTTGTTTGTTGAAACCATAAACATTTTGTCCTAATATCAGAGGCTTCCCTTGCATTATCTAAATGTGTCTATGTNTACTACTGTTTTGGAGCAAACTATTTTGGTTTTGAAAACTATTTGTGCCAAGAACGAGTGATAAAGACATTATTATGAAGTAACAGTAGAAACCCTTTCTTTGAAAATGTTATGAATTATGTGTTGTGAACAGTGATGGAAATGTTGGCCTTACTAATAATTTGGTGAGGTTTTAGGAAGCTAAGCTGTAATGTCATAGGAATCCCCTGGACATCTAACATGAAAGCCACTTTCTACATATCCTATAATGGATTTAACCAAGAAGGCTATTTTCTTTCAGCTGGAGAAGTAATTAGAGATTTAGAGTTTATATGTGTCTCTCTCCACAATCCACCCCAGCTCTAAGGTCAAAAGAGAATGCACTTGAGAAGAAACAAATATAATTCCTATCTGGCTTCCTGGGCAGCCATCCAAGCAAGCCTTTCTCGGTGCACTCTGAAGGATGAAAAAGAAGCAGCTTCCCCAGGTGGTGTCACAGCAAGATGCCTTCACGGTGCAGGAGGATCTCATCCAGGAAAGCCGGCCTGGTGAGAAATATTACCAAAGTGATTTGGAGTGATGGCGTTCCAGAGGGGATTGCCTAGATGGAATCGAAAGATCACATAGCTCGACAGCTGGGATGAGGAATCACACTCCCCTTAGATAAAATTCCCCATCCTTTTAGTACATCCCTCTCAGATGCGGGATTTACAGTATCGGGGCAGTTCGTGCAGTAAAACAAGCTATGGGCTACCTTGAGTTATAGTCTTCCCTCTATCTGAAACTTTTTAAAAAGAGATTGAGGACCCATTTATTTTTGGGTTTTATATTATAGTCATCAAAATGGAAATAATACCATTTTGAATTCAGACTTCTAATAATGAAAATATTTGTGAAAGAAATATAGTTCTGTTAGATCTTTCCGATAATTTCAGCTTGGGAGAAAAGTTATTGCTTCTTTCAACTCATTGCAAGACCATTTATGGCCATCTACTAACAACACCGTTATTTCTGAAGTTCTCCAATAAATACCTTTTTTATTTTTGAAACTGTATTTTAATTACATTTATTCTTTTAATTTCTTTCTTCTAAACACTCATATGTACCTCACTTTGCTCTCCTTCAAATCCGTGCCCTCCTTCGTTCGATTGCTATTATAATGAGCATTAGTTTTTAATGGACATGACTGTATTCATTTGAATGACTGAGCACCTGTCATGAAGTAGACATTTCATTTTGAGAGATGCTTCCCTTTTTAAGCAGAAGGGAATTGAGAACACAATTAGCTAACGGTACAAAGTAATGTTTGAACACTGTGGTGACTACATGGGTGAAATTTTTGTGATTGAGGATTGCCACTCTGTTAGCATCAGCCAATTTTACCAATGCCTAAAGAGGCTGGAACTTGAAGTGTAATAACTAACATCTCTGTACCTAGAGTGCACCTGCGTTCTTAGAGACAATCCTTCTGGGATGCCACTGTAGCTCACGGTTTTAAGTTTTCAAATGTAAATGGATGATATATTGGCCTCCTCAGAAGCTCTTATTTATGGGCTTATTTGATGAATAAAGTTTGAACATGACTATGCAAGGGCCTTTGTACTATTGGGTATGTGTCTAGAAGTGGTTTAGCTGGATTATAGGTCTTGTTTCTAGCTTTTGAGAAACCTCTTTGCTGCGAGATAGCCTTTATTATATTGCGAATATGTGTTGTTCTCATTGGTTGATAAATAAAGGTGCTTTGACTTATGGCAAGGCAGGATAGAGACAGGCAGGAAATCCAAGCAAATATATAGGAGAAAAAGGGCAGAGTCTGGGAGATGGCAGCCATTGCCCAAGGAGCAAGATTCCAGGAGCATCACCAGTAAGCCGTGGGCCACATGGCAATACATAGATGAACAGAAGTAGGTTAACTTAAATGTAAGGGCTAGCTAGTAATAAGTCTAGGCTATCAACCAAGCATTTATAATTCATATTAAATCTTAGAGTAGTTATTCGGGAACTGGCAGGTGGGAGAGAAACTTCTAATTACTTTTTGCTACTGTTATAAATCATAAAGTAATATCAGTGTTTTCTGATGGTCTTAGGTAACCTCTTTGAAAGGGTTGTTCACCTTTCCCAAAGGGGTTGTGACTCTCATGTAGAGAACTGCTGCCCTGGTGCTATTTTCTGAAAAATTCAAATAATTCTTTAAAACTTTTGTTTAACCAACTAAATTCTCCCCAGAATAATCCCATTCTTCTGACCCTCCTTTTGAGCCATGGAATATATTATGTGATGGAGGTTGAAGGGATTAAATCCAGCTCTTGAGCCCAGACCTTGCACTTGCTAAATAAACAATTTACTATTGAGTTACTGCTCCACCTCTTAAAAGTTATTGCTAGACACATTTCCATATCAAGGCCAGACTGGGCAGGAATTGGCTGGGATCATGTATGAGCCTGTCAAGTGCTTGAATTACAGGAGTATACCTCTAATTTAAAATTTAACTAGTCATTCTAAAACCTTTCCATACATCCTTCGATGTTGGATCCATGCAAACTTATTTTTATAATAATTGGATAGTGGGCTTCTTTTGTCCCACTCTATTGATTTAGCTATTAAATTCCACTTACAGACTTCAAGTAGTGAACAAATAATGCACCCCTCAGCCTTCCACGCAAGAGATCTCTTCTCCCAGAAGATCGTTTTCCTCTTTCTTCAGTGCATAGGTAGCTATTGTTCTCGACCAGCTATAAATTGCAGGAATCAGACCTACTAGGGTTCTTCATGTTTCTGCATTTGTAATGGTAATAGTCAAACTTTCAATAAATATTAAAATATTTAATTGTTTACTATCTCTCCATACACAGCAGTAATTGAAATAGACAGAGCACATGACCTTAACCTCCAGGAGCTCAGAGAAGTCAATAATTAATAACAAACTCAAAGGTACAGTTACAGACTGACTGATGTCACTCATTAACTCTTTTAACTAAAAAATACTCACTGAGTATCTTCTTGATGCCAAACACTAGATTTTTGTGAACAGTATAGTCTTGGACTCTCCTTTGGGCCACCAGCTAACATATAGCAAAGCAGGAACATATTGTTAATTTTGAAAGTTTGGTCTTAGCTTAGGTTTTCTTTCCTCTACATTTCTTACATCTTAAATTAATCTTTTTTTAAATTAATCTACATTCGGCCATGTTCCCTCTTTTCTGAACCTCTGTCCAAACTCTTCAGTGTCTCAATAACATCTCAGCCTCTTTTTTCCCAGAGTCCTCTCTCTTCCTGGAAATCCTGCCTATTCTCTCCTACTTAGCTATTGACCATTCAATTCTTTATTAAACTAATCAGAAGGTTCAGAAGGCAGAAACACATCTTTACAGTGTAAACAAATATCCTGTAGCAGAACAGATTAAAAAAAAAAGAAAGGAAAAGAAACATGCTTTCAGGTATTTATATTAGTTTTAGTTTATATTATAAAGGAGTAATAATTTTGTAAAGAAAATGTATAAAATGACAACTCGTCTACACTCATATTTAGGCAAGATTGCTAGGATATTTGTGCCATTATGTAGGGCTGCAAAACCAATAGACTCTGGTCATTCATTAACACATCAAGAGGACTATGAGCGGAAGATTGTTCCAGGCAAAACAACAATGATTGTCAAGGTCCTTTCGGTCCACTGAGTTAGAAAGATATGCAGCTCCTTTTCATCTACTATCCAGAGCAGCATCTGTTAAGTGTATTCTCAGAAGTTGGGGAGTTAGTTTTCATCACTATGGTTCAGACTTGTGATGCAGAGGTGTTGTTAAATTCCTCTGTGAAAAACTGAACAATATCTCTTAGGCTCTTCCAGCCAGGTGAGATTCCTGCAGAATTTCACAGAAACTGAGCCCTTCTGTGATCGCAGTTTCCATTTCTTCACACTTCCTCCTGCCATGTGGTTTTCACTGTGTTTTTCCCTCCCAGCAAGGCGCATTTTCATCTCAGTCTGTTATCTCAGGCTTCTTTTATTTTAAATTTCCTCTGTGAACTTCTTTAATAGACTCAGTGTTTTATTGTATTATATTGAGTGCAAAAAACAGAAGATATGTTAAATCGATTTGTTTCCTTATGCATACCCACGAATAAATGTTCTTTGAAGAGTTCTAAAAATTATTGTTATATTATTGTTTATTATATATTTTATATATAATATGTTATTAAACTATATCATTGTTGTTATTATTATTCAGGATTCTAGATTGATTTTTGAAGATCCTGTATCAGTTTTACTAGGTCAATCCTACAGGTTCTAGAAAAACTAGTGTGTCAACTGACCAGAATCATGTCATTCATTCTCCTGAGTGCTGGACTTTAGTCTAGACTTTGATCCGTACCAGGAGCTAGAATCAAACACATAAATAGGGAAAACAGTATGTCTTTACTGATAACTTTTACACATACCTACACACAAGCAACAATTATATTCAGTATGCCTGTGAAATAATGGTCATAAATCTATACAAAAAAACAATAGATAAATAAATTGTAAAATGCATATTTGCAAAGAGAGCACCTGTATTGAGACAAATGTGATTATTTCTGGTCTCCTAAAATTAGTTGGGCTGTTTTTTAATATTCCATTCAACTATTTTTAGAAAACAGGTTGGGGGTAAGCAAATATTTTAATATGGATATAAAAGCCAGTATTGAAGGGTGAAAGAAAAAAGTATAAAAGAACAATAGGACAAACCCAGAGTAGACACATGCTTCTCAGAAATAGAGCCATATCTGAGAAAGCTGTTAACAGACGGAAGGAACTCCCATGCTAAAGGACTGGAAGAATTAATGTTGTAAAATGAGTATCCTACTAAAAGCAATTTAAAAAATTAAATGCAATTCAAATTAAATCACAGAACCATTTTTCCACAGACATCGGTAAAACAACCCAAGAATATGAAAAAAGTCACAGAAGGACCCCGACGACCTGTTACCCTGAAACTGTAGGGAATAAAAGTAGAATGCATAATACTGCTCACACTCAAGAGTATGACATTTCTGAATAAGACTCCAGTACCACAGGAGACAAGACAAAATCTTTAGCAGACAGGACTTTATGAAACTAAAATGCTTGTTACTGGAAGGGAATGGGCAGTCCACAGGATAGGAGAAAATGAATGGCAACTATTCATTCAACAAAAGATAGGTGTCTAGCATATAGAAAAGACTAAGAAAACTAAATACACAATTAAAAATGAGCATGACAGTGAACAGAAAATTTTCAATAAAGGAAATACCAATGAATGGGGAACATTAAAATGTGCTCAACATTCTTAGCCACAGGGAAAAATAGATTAAAATCACTTTAAAATGCCTAATCCAATCAGAATAGCCATTTTCAGAAATACAAATGACAACACATGTTGTAAAGGATGTCATGAGAGTGTAAGCTAGTGTAAGCAGTTTAGAAATGAGTGTAGAGATGATACAAATGATGGGGAAAAGGGTATATTATTATGATTAAAAGGGGGTAGTGGATTGAATCTACTTTAATCTAAAAAAACTACTGTTAATCTCAAAATACTTTACATTGGTGTGGATTTCGGTTTATTCATACAAATTTAAAGTCAATTTTGTTAATTTTGTATGTTTCTATTCTTGTTTAAGGTATTATGTTTATACAGCTCATTTAAAATGTAACATATAATTAAAATAGACATTAATGGTCATCTATAATAGTCAAACTTATAACTATATATTAGTTAGGTTGTTTAGGTATACAAAGATATGTTTCAATTAGATAGGTAATCTGTAAAGACATCAAAGACATACAGAATATGGCATTTAGAATGTTTTAAGGACTTAGACTTTTCTCAACAGTGAGATACATCTGCTTCTGGAAGCATCAATTACTTCAAAGAGGATGATGGGCATTGAAGAAACTTGGTATAGAGTTTGCCTTCGATGTGGCAAGGCTGGCCATTTGGGCAAGAAAGTGTTCTTGCCTGAACTGCTTGATGGTATGCTGGATAACCTGTACATGCAGAACCCACAGGAAAATGACCTCAAACTTTGCCAAAAAAGGTAGAACAATCTGTCAGGTTCCTGCTTGATAAAAGTTGCCAGGCATTCTGAAGGGCACAGAGGAAAGTGACTGATGAACTTTGCCAATATAGGTGGACAGTCCTTCAAATTTTCTGATTCACTGAGAAGTCTGCCAGATAATCTTATCTTTAGGATGAAGATGGTGCCCCAATGTTACAGAAGAACATTGGGGTGACTGTCCAGGCATCCAGATTTCTATGTCATTTCTAGAGTTTTGAAAGTTGCTTGCAGTGTACTTTTTGTTCTGTCAGGTAATTTTATATCCTTCTGGGTTCTTTGATACAGTTAAAGATTAGGTAGTTATAATCCTTTCAAATCTTAGCTAAGGGCATATTAGGTACAAAACTTATACTCATCAGGAAAGGACAACTATTGGAGTAATCCCTGTAATTTGCCAATTACCTATAGTCTGGACATCTAGAATGTGTTTCTTGCTTTATATTGTTCTTGGATGTAGTTCATTTTGTTTATATTATTGCCTTTTCTTTCTTCTAGACAATACTTGTTAATTGTTTTCATTGTATATACTTTTATGTTAGGATTAGAACCTTCCTAATTAGACAAAAAAGTTGAAATGTTGTGGGGATTTGGCCATTCGGTCTAATGACCAATGGAAGGAAGGGGTGGGTGTGATGGGTGTGGCTTTCTCTGAGGATGCATGGCTCCTTAGGAAATGAGGGAAAGGAGTCGCATGCTCTGTTTTGGACATGAAAGCCTTCCTGACAGCCCATCTTGGCTACCTGGTCTGGGAGTTTCTCCATCTTTCCCTGGTGGATGAAGAGGTAATGGCCCTGCTTTGTTCTGTATTTGTGAGTGTGTTATTTCCATTTCATTCTTCAAATAAGTCCTGATCCAATACTTTCATAGACTGTAATTTTAGTAGCAAAATTACAGTTATGAAGTAAAAGCAAAAATAATTTTTTTTTAGTTGGAGGTCACCATAACATGAAGAACTGTCTTAAGGAGCCACAACATTAGGAAGGTTGAGAACCAATGTGCTAGAAGCATTAGGAGGAAAGCTTCCAGGTCATGCTCAACTTCCTTAGCCGTCAGGGAAATGCAAATCAAGACAACTTTGAGATACCATCTTACACCTGTCAGAATGGCGAAAATCAAAAACACCAATGATAGCCTTTGCTGGAGAGGTTGTGAGGAAAGGGGTACACTCATCCATTGGTAGTGGGAATGCAAACTTGTGCAACCACTCTGGAAAGCAGTGTGGAGGTTTCTCAGGAAATTCGGGATCAACCTACCCCTGGACCCAGCAATGCCACTCTTGGGAATATACCCAAGAGATGCCCGATCATATGACAAAAAGCATTTGTTCAACTATGTTCATAGCAGTATTGTTTGTAATAGCCAGAACCTGGAATCAACCTAGATGCCCTTCAATGGAAGAATGGATGAAGAAAGTATGGAATATATACATATTAGAGTACTACTCAGCAGTAAAAAACAAGGACTTCTTGAAGTTTGCAGGCAAATGGATGGAAATAGAAAACACCATCCTGAGTGAGGTAAGCCAGACCCAAAAAGAGGAACATGGGATGTTCTCACTCATATTTGGTTTCTAGCCAAAAATAAAGGACATTGAACCTATAATTCGGGTTCTTAGAGAAGCTAAATAAGAAGGAGAACCCTAAGAAAATCATATAGGCATCCTCCTGAATATTAAACTTCATCAGGCGATGAAAGGAGACAGAGACAGAGACCCACATTGGAGCACCGGACTGAAATCTCAAGATCCAAATCAGGAGC